GGGGCTGGCCTAGCTGCGCCCTGCCGGACGAGGAGCCTCCGGTCGGACGCGGTCGGCCTCCCCGCCTTCGGCCCGGGTGGCGCTTCCGCCGCGCTCGCCTTCCTCTGCTGCGGGAGATGGGCGGCCGCTCCGAGGCGGCTCCCACGGCAGTTTCTGGCTCTGCAGGGGACGTTCGACTGGCAGCTGCTCAGCGCCACCCTGCCCAACAGCAAAGGGAGCAAACGAACCAGGCTGGAACCAGGCTGAGCGCTTTGTCCGCTGTACCTGACCTGGTTACCCTGTAATGCCACCTCCCGGATCCCCTTGAATCACGCTTCAAACTGGGCAGGGCTCAGCCCCCCCCGCCCCCTCCGCCGCCTTCCCCTCTCCCCCGTTGCCTGCTTGTGCGTCCCTCCGGGGGCTTAGCCACATTTTTGTTCGCGGCCTTGTAGCGCACCTGCTCGTCGGTGATTTTGCGTCAAATTCAAAGCAAGGCTTTCAGCCAGAACAGTCCTGCCGTGTGGGATTCTGATTCCCCTATAAGGCAGTCCGGGGTGTGCCCTTTAAAAGCTGAAGCTCTTGCGGAGCTGAGGGTGGCCTCTCGAAGCCGACCGGCAGAGCCTTAAAGCAGGAGGGCCTTGAATTCCCCCTCCCCGCGGTGGGGCAGGGGGAGCGGGAAGAGCTGCATCATCACTGGGGAGACTTTCTGGGTAGTGATCCACCCGGCTGAGAGCCCCTGGATGATGTCATTCTAAAAGCTCCTTGAGGAAACCTGGCAGAACAAAAGAGACGATTAGGAAGCGTGTGCAGGGTTGGGTCTTCTTTCCCAGACCCCCAGCATAGAGAGTGATGGAGTGAGCATCACAGGAGCACCCTCCCCACACACTTTTTTTGTCCTGCCAGACAATTTCTTTTGCTGTTCAGGGACACATTCATGCCGTGCTGGCTTCAAACTCATTCCACTCCCTTCCCTTCTTCGCCTGCCCTCAGCCTGGAGCTCCCTAAATCCACTTAGTAGTTGTACAATTAAGCCCAACGTTCTTTTCCTGGAGGGAGGCAGTGCCTTTGCACGGCTAGAGTCCCCAAAGCTGAAGATCACAGGATACTGGGGCTGGGTTTTAAAAATCCTCTGTGGGGCAGCTGTACCCCAAACTGCCAGCACCTCTGAGCTGTATAAGTGGTCCTTCTCTGTTAGATCAGGCGGGGGGTGGGGGGAGGATACGGCAGCCCTGCTCTCTCTGCAGCTCTTACGCATTCCTAGCACTTGTCTGGCCGTAGCAGGGTTGCTCCAGAAAGTGCCTCTCAACTGTCCAGTCAGATGTGGGCATGGCTCTGCAAAGTGCGCGGGCACCATCCGATCTGGAAGAACTGGCTTTTCTGCTTCCCAGGATGTCAACAAGCTTGAGAGGCTGGGAGGAACTGTTGGAAAGCCGAAGCTGTATGGGAGACACGCAGTAGCTTTCGGCAGGTTGAGACCCTGACCTTGGGCTAGGCGTGCTTTGTTCCCATGCGGGATGGCTCAGGGTCTTCACCCCGACCTTTGCATTCAGCAGGTTGGACTGCTATGGAATATGATGAGAAGTTGGCCCGTTTCCGGCAGGGCCACCTCAACCCGTTCAACAAGGCCCCGCTGCAGAATCGCCAGGACCAGAAGACAGCAGGAGCTGGAGAGGACTTTCCACAGAAAGGTGAGTTAGCCCCTTCCTCACCTTCGCCTTGGGCAGAACTCCGTAGCTCTGGATCCAGGAGGATTATCCATCCCTTTCCCTTATGACCGGATCAATACCCTTTGGAAACTTGAGGGCAGGCTGTCCGTGGACAGGCCAGGAGTTCCCATGACCTTCAGCCTCAGGGATGACTCCAAGGTCAGTGTCCCACCCTTTCCTGGTTCAGCTGCTGGCGACAGAAGACCGGCGCTGCCCTGAGAATCTGGAGGCTGCTGTGGCAACTTGATTTCTTAAGCAGAGCCCAGATGGCTGCTGTCACGTGGCAGAGGCCTGCTTGCTCATCGCCAAAGCCTTTGCTACAAGCTGACCTGTCCTCAGTAGAGAAACGGGCCATCCTGTTTTCCAATGTGGACATTTTATTTATTTATTTGTTTGTTTGTTTATTTATCAATCATATTTATATAGCCGCTCATCTCACACAAGGTGACATCCTTATTCTGTCGGCCTCTTCCTGCCTTTGAGTCTAGTTCTTTCCACCGTGACTGGCCTTGTGACGGCTGGCATGCGGAGTCCATCAGGGCTACGTGCTGCTGACCAGCCGCTAGTTTTGCCAAGACAGGGGCTTCTGGCTACAGAAAGAAGGAAGCCCTGGCCTTTGGCCTCTGGTAGACGAGGTGCACGGAGGGCTTGGGCCCAGCTGTGTCTTGCAGACAAAGATTGTGGGACTCTCCGTTCTTCTGCACTGTCAGAGGTAGAGCTCTCCTGGCAGTGCTTTGCGTGTGGAGCAGGCTTGTCTGAAGGGCTAAACAAGTCCACTGTTTTTCTCTCTCCCCCTCCCCCCACCCCATGCAGACCTGAATCTGGGATTTTCCCCAGAGGAACCTGTGTTCCACTGCTCAGAACGCACCATGGACTTGGGCCTGGCAGAGGATCACTTCTCGCGCCCAGTGGTGAGAAAGCAGCGTGTGGGTTTTGACCTGCTGCGCTGGCTCCGAACAGGCAGCTGCAAAGTGTGCAAAATCCCTTTACGTGGCAGTGGGGGTGGGGGATAATGTGGAACCCCTGCAGGCCAGGAACTCTCAGGCTTGCGCCCTGAGCCGCATCCATCCCAAGCCAGCCGCCGCCTCATGGGCCTGGTCTTGCCTCTGGCTGCTCCTGCCCTCACCAACAGCTTATCACCAGCCCGCTTAGCAGAGGCTGGACGCCCCTCTGGTGGGCTGCGGTTCTTTTCCTGCAGGGCCTGTTCCTGGCCTCGGATGTGGATCAGCTGCGGCAGGCCATCGAGGAGTGGAAGCATAGGATCCTGGAGCTCCCGGATAACTCCGAGATGCAGAAGGATGCCGTGGTGCGGCTCATTCACCTGCGGCTCAGGCTCCAGGAGCTGAAGGTGCGGAGCCAGCCAGGGACGGTCATCCCCAGCCACTGCCTGGCTGGGCGCACGCCAGGGGCCAGAGGGCGGGCGGCGCTTGTTCCGGCAGAGGTTCTCAAACAGCTGGATTCTCAGGAGGCCTTGCAGTTGCTCGGCCTCCGCTTCCCACTCCAAGGAGAGGGTGGGGCTTCCTCTCCCCCCCTCCCCCGCTGAACAGCCCCCGTCCCC